ACGAAAACGTTTACATCGAGGTGGAGTAAACCACCCTACCTTGCATGGACTAGCGGTGTTAGCAAGCTTATGCAACACGGATAGTATTTGTGGGTTGATTTCCGAATAAACACACAACTGACTGTCTTCCTCCTTGGTCCTCTAAAAGCAGTCTTCATAAAAAGTTAGAAACCCCATCTTGTGTGGTAGTCCTATTTAGGGTCAAACGTCAGATGATTCAATTAATTGTCTGTCAATGATGCCGTGATGTTATTGGCTATGAAGACTCTAAATGTGATTGGTGAACTTCAATCCGTCTTTTGTCACAGTTATAGAGGCCGTGTTATTGTTAGTCAAATTGACGGTTCTACTATCATTCTGTCGTTGTCAATTTTGTTTGAGTCCAGTCAATAAGTCGTTATTTTATTGTAAGGTGCCAGTAGCTGCAGACTTAGACTCAGCGGTGTTTCTTCTCAGTTAGTAAACTAATATCCCAATGTCAGTCATTGATAGTAGTCTGTTGAAAACGTTATGTAAGTCACAGAGTTCCAGTCGATTGCAATTGAGTGGTTTGTTTGTTAATGGCTTTCTGCAATATGATTGTTGACATCACCATTTCTTGTATTATTATTATTATTATTATTATTATTATAATTATTATTATTATTATTATTATTGGTTATCTTGTACTAACACGTGACTATTCTCACCTCATCCTCAGCAAATTGGGTTAAGACATACAAGAAAGCGATTTGATGAGCAGCCTGAGACTTGTTTGGAAGCGTCTTCATGATGGACTTCAGAGAAGCTTCGTTTTTCTTGGTTGGAGGCGGACGACGCATGAGATGAGGGGTATTGGGGATAAAACCTGCAACATCCATGAGTCCAAAGTTCACTGCGGCATGCTGGCACGAGCACGTGAATACTATGCAGGTAAGAACGTGAACGAGCTGTTCGAGGGTCGAAATGCTTTTAGGAAGCTCGCGATCGATGCCACTTTCTCCAACAGGAAATCCATTCTCGTGTATATCTAGCAACCAGGCGTGAAGCTCCGTGTCCTTAGCAACGTCTTTATCTGACTTATAGTAGATGGAGGTGACTTGTCGCATGAAAGTTGAAATAGCTTTCCATAGGCGAAGAGCATCATCTCTGACAATAAAAAAAAAGCAGTTCCGGCTTATTTCAAGGGTGCTGTACATTTGAATGAAACTAGGTTTTAGTTACTGGTATTTGCTCGATAACGTTACACTGTGCAATATGCAAACAATAACATCTGCTTTACCTGTAGTAGTATTTGGGCAATTTCTTACTATCGTCCACTCCCTTCTTGGTGAGCACTTCAGGCAACGAGAGCATGCTGAACCTGAACGCTTTGTAACTTTTCTTCAAAATCTGCATAGGAACTGTCTTGTTAACCAAGTCGTGTCTGACGAAATTGTTGATTGCCATCACAGCGCGAAGATGAGGGAAGAGGATTTTAAATACTGGATGAACCGAGGGCAGCTGGCGCCAAGCTGCCACGGCAAAAGTCTCCATAACCATGTGAGTTTTGAGAACATGGGCGTTTACCTTTAGTAAAGTGAAATGTGGTTGGTTATATGATCACCAGAGGCCAGAAAGAAAAAAGGGGGGAGGAGGGGGGGAGGAAGAAAGAGAGAAAAGAAATACGGTTCTAATGGTCTATTGTAATTAATTATAGACGTGTTTGTCTTTTCTTCTTTTTTTTCTTTTTCTTTTTTTTTGTATTTTGCAACCGGTAGGCGGAAATCCGTACATTCAAGACTATTTCAACCTTGTTCAACCTCGTTCGCAGGGCCTACACGTTACCCGGAACGGAAGGATTCCTGGCAATGAGTTACCTATGTTTATTCCTGAAAACGACTGCCAGAATGTTTTCAGAAAAGTTTCAGAAAACGGCAACAAGTTCAGTGAGAAATGCACGAAAGGTATCAACGCTCAAAGTACAGTGTAGGTTAGTATACATTCTTTCCTCGGTCTAAACAGTACTCAAATACCTTACGTCAAGCTAATGGACGCATTTCGCTGCATTCGCTTTCTGATTCTTGTTGTGAGATAGTACTTGACCGCAATAGTGCTAAATAATTCTACATTTTTTACGCAATAAATTCTCGCTATCTTAGCACAATAGATTGAAGAGGTATTACAAACCTGCTGCATTTTATAGTCTGCGTGTCGAAGCCACATCTTCGCCAACAGCCAATCATATTTTGCGTCGTCTGGAGTCCATATTGGGTTGGTTTCACTTGGTTGTTGGAAAAGCTGTATGGCAATAGGCACCAGATCTCCAGAATTCTTAACGTAAAATAGCCCCAGGGGATGTGCATTGTAGCTAGTTGCCCCTTCCTCGGACGATTCTGTAATGCCTTCGAGCTCTTTGTAATCGACAATGTACACGTGACCTTTCTGATGGCCCCAGGATGACAAACACGCAAACAAACAAAGAAACAAACAAAGGCAATTAGATCAAATAGACACATTGAAATCTGCAAAGCTGATCGTACTACGTGAAAAGTAACTTTGCAAGACACCGATAGAACCCAAAACGGTGTGGGTTTGTAACCGTCAACAGCTTTTCATGTTTTACGTAGCACGATCAGCTTTGCAGATTGAAATGTGTCTAACTGGTATTTTTTCCTGATCAGGTCTTCTTAATTAGATCCTACGTTCTACCGCAAATTCATTTGCGGTCCCTTGCACTTTATTTTCAAAACCCGTCAATGCCAATGCTATTTCAATGCCCATGTTCCTGAGTGCTATATGCCGATTCTGAGAAGTCAACCGTGACAGCAAAAAGGATGAGAATATTTTCGCCGATCGTTATATATAGAGCGTTTTCACTCACGTGGCCAGCATCTATGCAAATTTACTGGAACAAAAGAAAGCGTTTACATAAGAAAAGAGTTCAGCTCCCAGAGGACTGATTTGAGGCACCAACATGGCCGCCGTTTCATTGTTTTGGGACACCAATATGGCCGCCGTGACGTCATGTGAAAACACTCTATACTCGGCAACTTCCCCATTGGTATCAAACTGAAGGAAAGAAAAAACGAGGCGTGACTACAAACCTTCATCTCCTGTTCTAATGTTAGGCCACGATCCAGAGTGCTTTTCACCAGGACATTTGTGACAGGAAAATTTCCTGGCAATTTCGTACAACGCTCAATAACATTCGGGTGGCAACCATTCAGGAATATCGATCCGTAGACACTATCCGTCATCCAGCGGTCTCCTTCCACAATTTTTGGCACTCCTTTGTAGGGTCTTTTAAGGATCTTTTGAAAGTCGTCAAAGTTATCCCAGGCGTCGAAGAGAGTCGCGAGGTTAGAAAGGCCAAGATTTTTTACCGCCTTCTTTTTATCGTCAGCAATGGAGTTTTTGGCCTCGTGTGAAAATTGTGAATCTCTTGGGATGTCAGAGTGCTTGGCGGCTTGAAGATGCCCAGGGAGGTCTTCAAAGCCAGGAAAGGTTCCCCATTTGTAGCTTTCCTGTCGTTGCTGCAATTCTAGTTTTCGCTGAGTTTTCACAACCTCTGGTTGATCTTGGAAGGGAAGGATAGCTAAAGAATTGAGATCAAAACAAGGTATCTTGTAAGGAATGGAGAAATATATCTCATTTATCATCAGACTTTACGGGCCAATTATTTAAACGAAGTCTAACTTAGACCGCGGTTTAGGAAATCTTTAAACCTCCAAATCTCTTTCTTAGTGGGTTACTTTAAGATGGAAAATACTTTTCTAGTCTTCGCCACATGCTTTCATGAAACTGTTCACAATAAATGGTGTCTACTTAAAAGCGTTCAGCAAACTGAAAATGGCTTAGAACGAGCTTTTGTTAAACACTGGCTAAATTCTGTTTAAATAACTGGCCCTACAAGTTTACAACCGAAAGCTAATTACGCAGTCGCTGCCAGGGGAGGCCCAAAAAGAATGAGTGTATAAAGTGAAAGCTCGAGGTGCGTTACAAAAAGAAATCTTCCTGGCCTAAAATAGAGAAGAAAAGTAATTCTTTTGATAATTTACAGTTAGTTTATTCAGACATAAATTTGCCATCACTAGGCTTAGTGCAAGGGCATTTAAAGTACCTTCTAAAATTAAAAAGATCCCATGCATAACTTTAAAAAAATACTGTCTCTGTGTTAGTGTTTAGGGGACGTTTTTTTCGTTCGTTACCATTTTGTATTGCTTTAGTTTCTTACCGTCAAGGTTCCAGGCACCAGCAACTTCGAAGTCTTTCCATACTGTCGAGGCATAACCCATAACCCAAAATAGTTAAGCAAAAGAGAACTTACGAACAGCTGCTTCCCTTTGAGGTCAGTTTTCAGTGTACGGATATTCCCAGCATTATGTGACGGAAAATACTTTGCTGGCGGATCAAAGTAGCTAAATCACGGTGGAGCCTTTGCCTTTTACGACGGAAATTCAGCTGTAACGCGTCCCGCCCACTGTCGTGACTGCATAGAGTCACGACAGTCCTTTCTTGATACAGTTTGATATTTTGGTAGCCTTACCTTTTCCTTCAAATACAACCAGATCCGACAACACCCAGCGATAACAAGGAAACTCGAAAGGATCTTCCTGACTGGAACTTATCACTGAGATCCTGTTTACAAACCAATCAGGATTCTTGTACCACCAGCCGCCACCGCTGTTATGCAGATGAACCATCAGGACCTCACCAACATCCATAGCCTCCACCGAGTACTCATCAACATCTCCTTTTTCAAAGTCATTTCCCCAGTTGTCTAACTTAATCATTTTTGTCTTCCCCTTAGTCCCTGCATTAAGAAAAACGTTCGAAACGTGACGAGAAAATATTGGAAAATAATCCCAAATTTGAAATACAACAACACCAACAATTGAAAGCTATACATGAGTATAGGATCCTGCGGAGTTAAAACCCGTTACCCCTTAAGTTTTTAAGTACAGTTTTTTGCCAAAAAGTTACGGTAGCCCAGGACCCTTTCATATACCTGCTTTTGAACACTATTAGGCTACCTTTCCTAATCCCTTGGAATAAAGTAAACAAACTATTTTACGAGAGAACAGCAAGAGGGTGCGGTTTGTTTGCGGCTTTTTTAAAAACCTAAATGACAATTTTCCTTACCCCTTCATACACTTTAATTTGTGAAATCCCTGCATCCTTTTATACTCGCAAAGCTTAAAAAGGTAACCATTTTGGTCGGAGCCTCACCGAAATGCAACACACAAAGTAACCCCCTCTCCCCACCCCACCTTCTTGCCCAGCTTTTTCCAAAGATATTGTAGTTTTACCTGTCAAAGATATGGTTATAGTGGCGTCCGTACTTGCTCCTGACTGGCTTCCGGTTTCTACTCGGATGAGATAAGAGGCCATGTGATCTGGGAGTACCTTATTTGACCTCCTGGATCGTAACTTCTGAGACCACACGTACACTGCATTTCGAATATGAAGAACAACATTGGGATCGTCAACAGACTGAGCTGGCAATAAATCAATGCAAGGTGGACGGTTGGTGAATATGAATTTCAGTCGCTCGGTCGCTGTTGGCGACAGAAGTGATGTCATTTTGAGATCAGCTACGTCCAGCCATGGATGTGTGCTCTCGTCCCATTCCCTTCCGACATGAAGTATCAAATGCGAATCATTGGGCTTAGCTTCATGGAGTTGCATTTGAAGCTTGTACTCGAGAGGTCCTTTGCCCAATCGCTCCTTATACTCGCGCTTTAAGTAGTCTGGAGGTAGAGGCTCTTTTGGCAACCTTCTGTTATCCCTGTGACAGAACATTTACATATTGTATTTTACCAACGCTATCGTACTAAGCCACTAAGGGAAGAGTTAGAAAGAATAAAGAAACAAAGAAATAACTTATAAATAATAAAAGAAGAAACAAGTATACAGATAAACGAAATAATCACTCAATAAATAAATTCCCTGCCAGCAGAGGCCTCTTTTCGAATTCTTTTACTCCATTAGCAAAAATGTAAATAAACAAATAATAAACTTTAAACTTATAATGATAGCAGGTTTCCATTGTCTTCTCATATAGTGGCGTCAAAATGTCCAAAATGTGCGGCTCGTGGTCTCTCTTATACGTTTTGAATATCACGGGATTATATAGACAAAAAGATGTATATTTTGTCTCAAGCGTAGAAGGAGTGACCCGACACTATGGCATAAGAGTGTAGATGATAACGTTCATTCCAGGGGAAGCTGTTTTCTTTGGGACACAATAATGTTAAAGTACTAGTCGGTTCAGGAGATTGAACAATTTCCACCTGTTATAACTGATTAAAACTTACCAAGGATGCCATTGTACTTTTTCAGACAATAAACCCGTTTCCGGTGATCCGTCAGCTGGGATCAATCGAAACCTCACGTAACGCTTGACGCCATCAAACGCTTTGAAATCCAGGATCACTTCAGTGTAATACCGCTGGTCGTAGAATGAGTCAGGCTTTTGGCGCAGACCACCAATGTTGGCTACAAGGCTGCGATTAAGTAAGTGGAATATAATTTCAACATTTAGCTGTTGAAATAAAGAGGAACCCTACTCGACATTAACTTACAGTAGCGTTGTAGAAAAATGATTTCAGTGTCTTATTTAATTCTGCTAAATAAAACCTCGACCCATGTAAGGGATTTCGGAAAAGTTTGTTTGTGGACTCCGGAATCCAAGAAATTTTTATTGTAGAATCCGGGATACAGTTCAAGGAGTCCGGAATCCACTAACGATTTGAATCCTGAGTCCAATTTCCACTGACAAAGAATCCGGAATCCATTACCGGAAATCCGGAATCCAAAGCGTGGAATCCAAACCCCCCTGAATGTCTTGGATTATTCCCTTCATACATGGGACGAAAAACCGACAGGAAAATCTTGACTTGTTTCGATCTGGAACAAGCACACTAACCTCTAAAAGTCTACTTATGATATTACGCGTCAGTAAACTTTCGTGGAAGTTAGCTATGTTTAGCTATGTCCGTTTCCTTACTTGTCAGGACTGAGCAAGAGATATGTTTTCAAATCTCCTGAAATTTTAGCTCTTACAGCATCGAAGATTGCCTTTGAGCTCCACAGGGGAGTGGTCGGTCCAGTCCCCATCACGATATCACATGGGCTTTCTTTATCCTCACTTCCGGCAAACCTTAGTGACCCACCGCAGAAATCGATCAGCACGTCATCAACAGACTGGATAGTGGAGTGACGCAGGCAGACCGAGTACGAACGCCCGGGGGTGAAAAACGCACAAGCGGGAAACTTGGGATTAGAGACGATTGTGGCAATGCCTTCGCTCCCGACACCAACCGGGTGCGTGCCTCTCTGCCCTTTTATCATCGCTTTTGCACCAAAAAGCAGCTTGAGTTTTTTCGTGTCATATGCGATCCTTGCAGAATCAAAAAGTCCAGGTGGCGGGAGTGGCTGAAAAAAAGCATAAAAGGGAAACAAGGAAGTAAGGGGAAAATTTCAGTCGTTGTCGTCCCACTTCCTTTCGAGGGTGGACGTTTCTCGTACTCTCCTTTTCAGTAACGTTGGTAACGCTGCTTTTGACCGGAAGGAAATTTATGTGTTCTCAACTTTAGCAGTCGAAAACACCAACATTAACGAGATCTGATACAGTAACTATACTTTTTTACTTGAGCTTCAGCGGTTCGTTGGAAATGTCATTCATGTTGCATCATACCTGTCCCATGAATACGATTACCTCCTTTTCAAATGTATTTTCCTCCATTTAAATTTTTGCTTTTTCTGCTAAGAAAAAAATATTTTGAACAAATATGCAGTGGCTTCAATTCTGAAACTCGTTTGCGCCTACCTTTTCAAATTCTTCGATCTTCTGATTGAACAGTTCTTCCCCCATAATGTCTTTGTAAACTTCATATCCAATATTCCTCCCTAAAACAAAGAGTTTGAAATTATTATTATGGAATTTATGGAATACTCGATACACCCGCAGTTTTTGTCTTGAAATACCAAAATACTAAAGTTCACAGCTGTCGATACCTAATGCCTTTATTTATATTCTAATTTATACCTTGCATTTTGGCAAAAACAAAAATCAGTACCCTCTAAAGGTGATGTTAATACACGAGACGATTCGCAACGACGATTTCTAGCGCAACACAGCGTTACAACATTGCTGCGACATTGTTTCGAATGGTTACAACATTGTTCCAGCATTACAAGGCTGTGTTGCTCTTAAAAATCGTCGTTGCGAATCGTCTCACGTAACATCACCTTAACGGCAGGGTTCGCACAGGTCATGGAAAACCTGGAAAGACATGGAATTTAACAATTAATTTCATTTTCCGGCCCTGGAAAGTCATGGAAGTAATTGTCGGTTCTTGAAAGTCATGGAAAATTAAAGTTTTGTTTAATAGTTTAGTTACTGCAGATGACAAAGCAAGGAAAATGTAAGGTAGAGAAGAGTAATTAAACAGCGCAAATGGCACTCATTTTGGTAGACACCAGAGTATGTGTCTATTGAAGTGCTTAAGGTCAAAAAATACCCCCAAACTAGAAAAATTGCGAAAGTTTTTGAAAGTAACGACTAAACCTAAGGTCATGGAAAACTTGAAAAGGTCATGGAAAAAGTCGAGGAAAATCATAGAATTTGTTGAGCTCAAAAGAGGACGAACCCTGAAGGGGTAAAAAATGCCTTAGATACTGCAGAAACCAAACTCTTGTCAGTGCCTCTGTTCCGATCTTTGCATCCAAACCTGTCTCGTGTCCTGTTTTTATTTCCTTTCCACGAAGAAAGGAAACTTGCTTCATAAAGGAAATAAATATACAAACAAAATAGAAAATAAATAAGAGACAAAACGCATTGAAGTTGCACTTACAAGGTTTCTTGTTTCTTGACGTTCCGTGAAGATATACAGTTGTAAAAAAAAACACGTTATTTTAAAATGAAATTAGTAATTTTTGTAAAATTAAGCAATGTATTTGTTAAATAACCAGTATTGAAAATGGTCAGTTGACCTCGAACATTTTATTTGAATTCGAGCGTGGAGTCTAGACAACTAACTAGCAAAAACTGTATAATGTTGTCAAGTTAAGGTGGCTCGACTGGAATTTTTTAGGGGAGTGGACCTCCCAATTTGAGCATTTACTACGTCTGCATTAACAGACATAGCTGTATTGTATAAAAATGAGAATTTGTTATGATCAATGTTTTATTGACATCGGAGTTGCCATGGCAATGTAATAGCCCCATGACCTTTTTTTCTTGCCCTCGTACACGTCTCGGTACCAGGAGCTTTTCTCGGTAATCGGTTAAGGGAACTTTTACCACCCTTGGCTGCCCCGATTATGACAAAGTTTGAACGATTTGTATGTGAGCGTTTTGGAAATATTTTGAAACGCAGTTTTGAGGGTCATAAAAACAGTGAAATAAACATGCTATCGGTATTATTGGCTAATATGTAAAGAAAATGGTGAGGTCTGGAAATGCAGTTTTATCTCATAATGGTTTGATTCCATTTGAAACTGTGAACGAAAAAGAGAGGGATTGTTTTCGCTGTGGTAACTTTTTCGATATCTTTGTTAATGCCGACGTAGTAAACACACAAACTAGGTAGGTATTGCCCTTAAAAATCCTGTCGAGCCACCTTAATTAAATAATGATCTAAATCAAAGTTTGCGCAAGTATAATGACCTCACGTCATTGGACAACATCAAGGCATCACAAGAGATAATAATCTGACAGAGCGAATCCCTTATTCATTTCGCTGTTGATAACATACAGCAAGTAACATGACGAGCGAGTCAGAAAATTTCTACGTGGAAAAATCTGTCTGGAGTAGTCACCGACGAGCAATATTATCCTGACTTGCAGGAATCGCCGAAGAAATGAGTTCCGATTCGAGGGATATTGCTAATTGCGGTCTTTGCTACATCATAATATCACGTTCTCTCTTGGGCATCATTATTAATATCATCTTCATCATTATTATCGTCATTATCGTGATCATCATCATCAAGAAGGAGAAACATACCCTTTTTCGTCCTTGCTGGGTTGATAAGCTTGGCCACTGCTTAGACCATGGCGAAAGGACGCACGCAGGCATGCGCAGTTACCCATGAAGAAGGCTGTTTCCTTATAGGTACTGATATAAGTAAATTCAAAGTCAGCGTTAACAGATGCACAAAACAGTTCGTGGATGATTGAGCTAACAGTTCNTCCGATTCGAGGGATATTGCTAATTGCGGTCTTTGCTACATCATAATATCACGTTCTCTCTTGGGCATCATTATTAATATCATCTTCATCATTATTATCGTCATTATCGTGATCATCATCATCAAGAAGGAGAAACATACCCTTTTTCGTCCTTGCTGGGTTGATAAGCTTGGCCACTGCTTAGACCATGGCGAAAGGACGCACGCAGGCATGCGCAGTTACCCATGAAGAAGGCTGTTTCCTTATAGGTACTGATATAAGTAAATTCAAAGTCAGCGTTAACAGATGCACAAAACAGTTCGTGGATGATTGAGCTAACAGTTCTATGAAGATAGTAAATACTTCAAATTGATTTCAAGGAATCATGCAATCAATCAAAAACTACATTTTATATTTTGCAATAAACGGCTGGTTAATCAGTGAGGTCTATGAGAGTATTATTAGTCTGCAGGAAAGAAATTTGCTTTTCCATGTCTCTCGTCTCCGATAAGTCTTCGAGAAACGTAAAAGGAAATGGACCTCAAAAACTGCCAATGTTTAAGAGCGACGGCAAGGAAAAATCGACCAAAATCTTAATTTGGTGGCAAGATTTGAAAAATCAATTTCTTTCATTTTTTGTTCATAGATAGCTTTTAGGTGGATAATAAACCTGATTGAGGGAAGTAGATTGTTCCTGCCGAAAGCTTTTTATTTGTGAGAAAGATTAGAAGATCGGTTTTCGATGTCGGAGTCTCAGACTGCCCTAATTTTTAACACTTCTTATCCAAAAATAAGGACTTTAACAATGGTAATTCGTTAAGGATGACGGAACAGGAAGATATTTCGTCTTGTTACTTTACGATCGAGGAAACTTGGAGCCGTTAAATAAGTTATTTTGGTCACGCTTCACTATTTTTACCGGACTTGAAGGCTGCTTAAAGGAACCCAAGCCAATTCTCAGACGGTATGCTTTGAATGAATGTCTAAATGTGTGAATAAAGGAGGACCGAGAAAATTTGGAGCTATACCACATGAAGAATAATGCCAGAGAAAACAACTACTAAATTAAAATTTTTGTCACTGCAAAAACCTGTTCTTCGTTTTTGAATTATGTTAGTTTAACGAGTCTTGATATTGCTTTGAAAGTGTCTTCTAGTGAAAGAAGAAGAGTTGTTCTATTGATGAAAAGTGTCCAAATTTCTCCTTGCGGCTTTATTTGCGAATGTGAGGAGAGTTGATGTTAGAAAATTTCGGGTTGAAAGAACGGTCATTTTGAGACTCGGACCACGAAAACTGATATTCTTATTTTTCTCAAAAATAAAAGGCTTTTTGCGGGAACAACTTACATCAGATTACTTATCTACCTAAAAGCTATTTATGGACAGTAAAACGGTTGGTTTAATCGCTAAATTGAAGCACTTTGTTCCTCAACATACCTTGCTAAATATTTACCGTGCGTCAATCTTGCCTTATTTATCTTACGGTTTGATAGATTGGGGGCAGGCGTCAAAAACACATTTAACAAAAATCTTATTGCTTCAGAAAAAAGTTATCCTTTTCATATTTTTTGCCAACAGGAAAGTTCATGCCATTCCTCTTTTTAGTAATGCAAATATCCTGCCAATTAGCTTTCTCTATTTTAAGTCCGTATCTTACCTAATCCTTGATATTCATACCAATTCTGCACCTCAAAAATCGTTAACTTGTTCTCGCAGACATCATCTAAAAATAATATGTACATCAAAAAATTTAATCTTGAAAAACTAAGACAAGCCGTCCCAATTTTTGGCGCTAAAGTATGGAATGAGATACCAGGTAGAATGAGAGATGTGTCAAAATAAGTGTTTAAACGAAAATTAATCAGTGTGCTCTTCGAAATATTAAAAGACAAAGATGATTACCTTGATGCAACCATGATAACACGAGAAATAAAATCGCGAAATGCTAAACCTTAGCCTCTTTCACAGGTTGCATTAAACAGATTTGTCTTTCTTGCTTTTGAATTCATTACAAATATTTCTTCTTTTCTTTTTCTTTGCTTTTTACTTATTATAATATAATATCTGATTTATAATATAATTAATATGGCACCTCTCGACTAGCGTTTTCTAGCTAACTGCGTGCCAAAAAATTGTACTTGTAATTTTATGATAATAAACGTCTTGTCTTGTCTTGTCTTGTCTTGAACAAAAAAAGGAAGGAAATAATTGATTTTTCAACTCTTGCCACTCGTTGGTCGATATTTCCTGACCGTCGCTCTTAATAATGTTTAATAAACAAAGCGACAAATATATACAGCTAAATCAGAAAGGGTTGCTTTGGTAATTGGACATTGGGCATTTGGACATATGGAGCAATGTGCACAATGATATACTTGAGTGACCACCAAACAAAATCTTCCCAATACCCAAAGCAACCATTAATGATATATACACATATATTTACATATTTTTATGGTCTCTTTGTTGTTGACCATAGAAATAACCTCAAAATGTTCAAAACTTTGCAGTGAAACCACTCGCCCACGTTCGTGGTTGTCATCGAGTTTCGTCAAGTTTAATATTTTAAAATATATATTTTTTTTTTAATATTTTAATATTTTCGAGTTTAATACTTTGACGTCATTTTGAGTTTCGTCATTTCGAGTTTAATATTTTGAGTTTAACAGTCAATTGACAGCAACATGCTGATGGTAAAAATGAAGACTTGTCCAAACAATGTATTGTGGGGGATTTTAAGAGTTCAGGAATTGAAAGATTTGGGAGGCTAGAACTTTATTTCCTTTGAAGAAACTGTAAAACGTAAAATATTTCTGCTGCATATATGACTAAATTTCTTTTCTGATCTTCTGTGATAGGTAAACGACAATAGTGTGGAGAAGTGAATTTGTAGGGAGCCGCTCAAAAACAAATTTAAATCCTACAATTAACTAAACACTGTTTTCTTTTTTCGCCAGCAGTTTTAAAGAACTGAAAAACACCAAAGAAAGGAAGGTCAGCATTTGTAAACACGATACCCATCCGCCACAGATCAACTTTTAGAGGTTTGCTCGTGCAAATCCTTAAAGAACACTATCAGATGCTCACAAGCCTCATAAACGGAGGAAGTATGAGCAATCTTATCAACGGTAGGAAAACTCGACGTACAGTTTGTTAAAATGCCTGTACCCTGCGTCAAATGATTTTTCTTCTGCACCCTTTGCCTTGCGCAACTTTGCTGCCCGAGGTTTTACGAGGCATAAACATAACTTACTCAGTAAACAAGGTAGGAAGCCTGGATCATTTACAAAGACATTAAATTGCAGTAAAAGCCTCATTTTGTCTTGAAACGGAAGAAAGCGGAAATATACTGAAGAATTATATCAGGCCTGTTTTCTGTGGAAGATTAAGAGCTAACTGACTAGAAGAATTGTGTAAAGAGATGAACGGTTGTTTATGAGCATATGGCAAGTCAAGAAACCCACAGGGCTCAATTCTGAGACGTAAATGACACTCCAATAATAAACTTATACGGAATTTAGGCAATGTCATGTTCGCCGATTATAAAAACAGCTACCAATTTGTGTATCAACAAGTTTCTGCTTGCGACGGATTTTCCAATCTCTCTTGTCAGGACACCTAATATCAATGACAAATCGATAAGCACTTCTTCTTAAAGGAATAAGAGTAAGGTGGGAATATTCAATTTTGAAGTAAAAATGCCATCCATACCAAATTGAGTACGTGCATTGCTAACCAATAAGCGGAAAGCTGCTTGGGTATTATGTCTGTCTATCAGTAAAAAATGAAGCTTGCGACGAACTCAGCCTTTTCAACAATGGTGGTATTGACTGCAGCAAAATTTGTTGCTAAGCCTTTTTAAACAAGAACTTCACATGCAATGTACGTGTTGATTGACGCCAAGGCTGTGCAAATTACCGTTGATCATAAGCGTTAACTGTTACTTATAGAAGATAAGACTTTTACTGCATTGCTGTAAAACTGAATTTCCTTGTGAACGACTTAAATCAATTATCATAATAGCGATACTGAAATCTATAGTTGAAATGTTATCATCGTATGCATAACACTTAGACATTTCAATGTCAGACCTTTAACTCGCCATAAAACAACTTTCCCTGAAACAATGCTTGCTTTTACATAATTATAATAACTTTCTCAGCGGCCGGAGCTGGCACACCATTTTGAGGCTCACCACGTAAGTAAAAGAATTCTTCTGAATACTTACCTGAAATTAGAAAACCAAAAACTCTCTAGACAGGCATAATTGTGGACCAAAAAAAATGTTTGTCGAGTACTCGACAGGATGATAACTTCACGCACCACTTAAATCCGTCGATTAATTATCTAGAAAACTGACCTGGCTGATCATGCATACCGTCTTAGTTTATTCTTGGCCACGAATTTGCATTTACCTCAATATGTCACTTAACCATGCAATTTCAAGGTTTACGTAACATGAAAAAAGCAAACAAGTCAAACAAAACGATGGCTTTAATTAAGCCGTCCTAAAATGTTTTGTGAAATCTGAATAAACTGGAGGCCCTTCATCTTCATCGGCCAGCTAACAGTGAGTCCCGTGATTTAAAACGGTAAAAGCTACAGTTTAGACGTATCCATCTTAATTACCTCTGAGTCTGTCCGCTGAAATTGCAATCGAAATGAAGAAATGTACCAATTCTTCACTGTAGTTCTCTAGAAGATGAAATGCTGTAATTGCCAGAATGTCTTGTTAATTTTTATATCATCTAATGGTAACAGTACTCTACCTTCCTTGGTTCAAGTTCTTGTTTACATTTCACGGTGTTCCTTCCAACATATAAGTTAACAGTGAACTTACGACCTTGATGCCATCCAACTTCCACCACATTTCAAAGGACTCACGTAAACAAAAAAATTCTTTTGTTATTTTGTTTTGTTTTGTTGTTTTTATTTTGATATAAATTATGGATTTACCAAATGATTAATTCCAAGAAAAAATTAATCCTGGCACTCTAGGGAAGAGTTGCCGAATCTCATTCACTGTTCAATCTATCGCGGATTCGCATTGCTAAATAACTTCACTGAAGACGACCACGATGGACTTGCGGCGCTTAATGCTTCAGTTAGAATCTTGTTCGAACTTCCGCAAATTCAACAATTAGCTCCACCGACTTCCTGGGTGTAATATGACAAACAACTATTTAAAAACAATGAATCATTCGGCAAAAGTGGAATTTTTTTCAAAAACGAAGAAGTGGAAATGGGAACCAGATATTGGGAACGAGCAGTCAGCGGTAACACAATAGACCTTAGTATATATTTGCCTGTAAAAATTATTTCTGAAAGCTGACATTTTCCAGTAGATGCTGCTAAAACGGGAAACGTGAAACTATAAGAATTCAATGGTAATTTCTAAATGACAGCTATAAAGAATGAGAAACGTTAAGTCTCTCTGATCTGACTGAAAGAGAAGCGTTGACCCTTTCAAGCGTTGACCCTTTTCCTGAAACGTGTTCGTCCTTGTAAAGTGTTTAGAAAGTTTCCGAAGCCACTTCACAAATGTCTCCTCCGCCTAATATGGTAGCCGAAAATCGAGTTAAGTTTTACCTAAAGGTGACCCCATTAAAACGTCGCGTCTCGGCAAAAGCTATTAATAGTATCCTATTTACATCGATCTTACCCGCACTCCAATTGAGGTATGGAAGTCTGGCGGCCACTTTCAGATAAAATGTAGAACAATTAGTGTATGAAATAGGGCGGGAAGGCTACCAGCAGGGAGGTGGAGTGTACATAAGCTAACGATGAAAAGGATATTAGACGCCAAACAGGAAGTACTTTAAACTTCTATCGAAATCGTCATAAATGTATTTGTGCGATCCCTCTTATACTCGCTTGGGTAAGACCGCTGTAAATAGTTTGACGACGTCATCACTTGGGGCGCCATAATTTCTCATTTGATTTCACCATGTATATCAATTCGATTAGTTATTTAATGGCCCATATCAACAGGTTTGGTAAAGAAAAATTACAAAGTAACTACATACTGTACCGAACGTTAACCACACGCTGAGCCTGTGTTTAAATGGTTCTTCGGCCTCGGCACGATGCAAGAAAGCCATCCATCCCACAATGCGCAAAGTGGTCATCAAAAATGCAAATTGTTTTATACCGATAGGCTGTATTTTATCTTCACATGACCGTTTATCGAACAATCATTAGTGCTTAATACTCATAAAGGATTAACTTTTGTCAGATTTTCCTTAATCTGCCTGATTATTCAGTGGTAAAGAACATCATTTAAGGTGGCTGAACACAGTTTTGCGGAGCCGTAACTCGCTTGACGGCGCGTGTTTTAAATTAGACAAACAAACATGGCGGCGAAAAAGCAATGGTACATCGAAGACGATATCTCGATCAAAATCTACTTATTAAAATTTTGTGATATGTGGCAGAATTTTTACTTATGTAGTATTTTAAATAATGAGAACTTTAAAATAGAAATTGAACAGATGAATTTTGTGACATATTTCATAAATACAGTACAATTATATTATTGATTATCTAAAAAAACCGTCTGTTAGAATTTGGTTAAATTAGTTTCAAATGGTAATGATTAATTATGGTAAGTTGTGTGCAAGTTTATGGAAAAATCTTATGAGCAAATTTGATGTAAACTGAGGAAAAGCAAAATTTTAAGGTTGTATTCAGTTGTTCATGTTGCAATGGAAACTACGAAAACGTCAAATTTTACCTGTCAATCAAAAGTTTTCATCAGTATATTTTTCACTTGCCAAGTTTCAGCTTGTGAGCTGCAACCATTTTCTTGCCATGATTTGACAAACTGCCAAAACTGTGTTCAGCCACCTAAAGCTGANTGATTAATTATGGTAAGTTGTGTGCAAGTTTATGGAAAAATCTTATGAGCAAATTTGATGTAAACTGAGCAAAAGCAAAATTTTAAGGTTGTATTCAGTTGTTCATGTTGCAATGGAAACTACGAAAACGTCAAATTTTACCTGTCAATCAAAAGTTTTCATCAGTATATTTTTCACTTGCCAAGTTTCAGCTTGTGAGCTGCAACCATTTTCTTGCCATGATTTGACAAACTGCCAAAACTGTGTTCAGCCACCTAAAGCTGAAACTATTCTTTTAGCCTTCTAGTTTTTTATCGTCTGAAATTATTAGTCTTTTCACTTAAGGCGAGACACAGCATTCTATCGCGAAATTGCGTTAATTTCAGCCGTTCTTTATAAAAAAATGAGACCACCAAGGCTTTCCTTTTTTTAGATAGCAATACTGTCCGGAATTCGCTCAGGTAACAGATTTATATAAGGCAACTCCAAGGATTCGTTTCGAGCCTTGATCGCATCAGATATTTCCTGAAGAGAAGCCTGGAAGCGACAAATTGCTTCCTCTGCTTTATCGCCTGTTAAAAGACTGTGCGTGGCATCACCAAGGAAACGCTAAAAGAAAAAAAAGAAAAGAATATTGAAAAAAAAATCAACTTTTTTTGCGATGGTGTCATTTTTTGGCTGCATGGATTTGCAATCGTTAGTCGGTATAAAAATTTTGTATTGTTCATAAAGTTACAATTAAGCTGGCCAAATACATGGACAAAGAACTAAAATTATGCAGCGCAGAGCAGATTTAAAAGGAGGGATGGATAGGTTTACGATAGGTTTATTTCAATACACGGCGTTTTTTGTCTTTGTTTCTCTTTTGTTTAAAAGCAAGTGTCATAAGTTGGAAATTACTTTCTGATGAGCCATCTCATGGAAATCCAGTTGACACATATGCTCACCTCGTCCTCGGCAAATTTAGTTGTCACATACAAGAAAGCAATTTGATGGGCAGCCTGAGACTTGTTTGGAAGCGTCTCCATGATGGACTTCAGAGAAGCTTCGTTTTTCTTGGTTGGAGGAGGGCGACGCATCAGATGAGGAGTGTTGGGGATAAAACCTGCAACATCCATGAGTCCAAAGTTCACTGCGGCATGCTGGCATGAGCACGTGAATGCTATGCAGGTAAGTACGTGAATGAGCTGGTCGACGGTTGCAAGGCTCTTTGGAAGCTCGTGATCATTTCCACCTTCCCCAACAGGAAAGCCATTTTCCTGTAAATCTCTCAACCAGGCTTGCAGCTCCGTGTCTTTGGCAACTTCGCCATCTGACCCGTAGTACGTGGAGATCACTTCTTTCATGAATGTTGATACCGCTTTCCAGAGGCGAAGAGCATCATCTCTGTTGATAAGAAATAATACTTGCTTGTTGTTAGGCACATGAATGCTCCACATTTTGATGGAGACGATATTAGTACAGTGTAATATTGAGTTCGCCAAAAAGACAACCTGAAGGCACTTGTGTTCTGTGACATGTGCAGAATACTTCATGTGCAGAAAGTGCGCGCGTAAGGTATTTACGCAGTTTATTTATAGTTTTGTTTTGCAAGCTCTCTACAACTTTTTCTTTAAAAACTTTCGTAAGATAAAAACGCTCCGGTTTCACTAGTGCAAATTGTCTGGTGGAACGACTGTGATCGCGAAAAAGCAACTCGGAGCGAAACGAACTTTCGAGCGAACTTCGTTTACGATTCTGATTGGACTTACTACTTTTCTCCCCTCTGCCCACAGAGAATATCAAGTGTGTTAATAAGGCCGCAGTAATGAGAAAACTGTCAAAGTCCAGGATACCGGCCAGAACGGCCGTCGCGTTTTCTTGCCGACAAATAAAACCTTGCGAGAAAAATTTCTTCAAAAAAAGTTGTGAATTCTTTTGAGTATTTGAAACCATTCTGTTAAAAAAACCTATTAAATTTAGTTTTAAGCAAGGTACCGAGCATTTTAAGAAAAATCTACTTCTCAGCATAAAAAAAAAACCATCGAATCTGGCTATTTGATGCAAAATTCGGTGAAAAAATCGGCAAAAGACGATTTATAGGTTTTTTGATTAACACATTCGCCCCTGAGCCGCCCGTAACCGCCCGTGTGGATCCACGTTCTTTCTACTGCTTGTGACGACATCAGTTTTGATTGTCAAGATAACTTTGTCCGCTAACTTGTGCAGAGTGAAGAAATCTTCAAACAAAGCCAGAATTAGCACAATTCAGTCAAAAATACCAGAGAATAAGATAAAAAAAAACTATGTAAAATTGACCTTAAAGTTTCCATGAAAGTCTTGTTCCATTACCAACACCTTTCCTTTCGTCTAATCCTAAGATCCTCAAAGCTTTCCTAAAAACTTTTCCCACCAAATGAGGCCTACTAAAAAATGAGGCAAGAAAAGCGAAAAACGAGGGAAGGAGAGAAAGCGAAAAGTAGAAATCAAGACTGCTGTGTCACTTTAAACCCATACCCGAACTTTGATCAGAAGGCCGCGAAGTGTACGACCTGTAGACGGCTTTGTGGTAAGTTTTAGCTCTTTATAGCACGACAGTGACCAGAAAACCGCTCGACTAGCTTCAAAACGCGTTTTTCGGCTAAATCTCCAGGGGCGAATGGGTTAAGCTTATTTCTGAATATGTGACGACAACATTTATTTATTGGCATTTCCATGAGTACTGACATTGCCGATTGCAATATTGATTACGTAAATTATTATGTTGATTAAGGTAAAGGGAAAAAAACAAATAAATAACGTTTATTATTGTAAGTATAATAATAATAATGGCAGCTATAATTACACGGAGAATTCTAACTATTTTGCAGCTGTGTTGAATGTTCTACTTTCAAGTTTTTCGGAGGCCAAAAAAAAATAAAATGGCCTACTGTTTCTTGCAGACAAGAAAGTAACACAAGACATAATTTGCATTTTTAAACGAAAAACTTTTTCACCCATTTCATCGATAAATTCAAGTCAAACAAGTTAAAACTTCCAAACCAAATT